TTGTTGCGACAACAAAAACACGTAGCCGTACTCGTGCTAAAGCTCCCTAGTATATTTAAATGACACGTGAATGTAAAGCATTTTATTAATTACAAACAAGATGCAACACAGCAGTGTATTGTACGCAACGTAGAACATTATAACGCAAATTAGAAGGAATTCTACGAGTCAACAGTTACAAATGGAAGTTGTACAAGATACAGCACAGCAGTGTATTGTACGCAACGTAGAACATTATAACTCAAATTAGAAAGAATTCTACGAGTCAACAGTTACAAATGGAAGTTGTACAAGATACAGTACGATGCATGCGCAAACCAGTGTTAAAGAGCGAGTGTAAATGTTTATGCTGAGCAACTGGACGAGCATGGGCGTAGAAAGATTGTTAACTGGGGGAAGAGGCTCGTACTCATATATTCATGATATGTAGTGTTAAGTTCTTTTGAAAGATAGTACTTTGTATAGCAGTATTGGGAAAAGAAGAGAATTTTGGAAGAGAAAACTAGCAACCGGTTTTACAAGCTTTTTACAATTTGCATTGGAAGCCTTTCGAAAAACCCCTCAAAAGCATGTTCTTTGGCAAATGATTTACTGGAGCAAATATATTGCCTTTCTAAAAATTCAACTTTTCCACTTTGCTATTCTACCTATTCAAATAGAAGAACAGTTGTCACAGATTCCCTTAAGGGGATACACTGGCTGTTTGTATAAATCAACTCGAAAAAGCATTTCATGTGGCTTGCTTGTAATTTTTATGAACAATTTCAGTTTTCTCATCTGATATGCGTGTTTTTGGATGATCAGAAGGGGCCCGAGAGTCAACTATAAGAAAACCATCATTTTCGAATTCTCAAACTTTCTCTCTCAGCGTTGCCGTATGAAGGCAACATGAAGGAAACCATCAAAAATTTCGGAAGTAAATTTTGGTGATCATTTGCTTCAAAAAGGCTATACTTGCGTGTTATGGGGAACACTGTCCCTGTTATATAACGTTTAAGCTTAATCAGAAGACGGGCTTATGTTTCATCAGAGGCTGCATGTGTTGCCTCTTATGAGGCTAGTGCATTGGCTTCCTTTGTCGCCGATTGCTGTGATTTTTGAGAAACCACGGATGCTGAGAGAGGGAAGTATTAAGTTCTTATTATCAACCATACTTTTTTGCAGTAAAGTAAATGGTTTGAGCCGAGAGTATCGTTACATGTTTGTAAATGTAGATCGTCCAGGTTGGTATAGTCCTGAGAAGGACTGTTTTTGTTGTTGTTGACTGAAGTTTCGACAACCTTAGCGGAAGCCATATACAGAGTCAAAATGACTCTTCAGAGATGAACTCTGTTTCATCTTCAGAGATGAACTCTGAAGATGACTACCGCTAAGGTTGTCGAAACGTCAGTCAACAACAAGAAAAACAGTCCTTCTCAGGATTATACCAACCTGGACGATCTGCATTTACAAACACATAATTTTTTGCGTTACATAGAAGATGGCGATTCACGTAGGAGACGTACGTAGCCGGCATGTTAGTATGAGAAAACTAATTATGAAATTCAACGATATCATCGTTTGCTTCAATAATAGAGAGCTAAAAACGCAAAACTAAGGCGAAACAAAGTTTAGAAAAAATACATAGAAACCATAAACTAAAACGATATAAACTTAGAGCAACACAGATAACTCACTCCACAACCGCAAAATCCAAAAAACTGAAATGAAAAAACCTCTTCAAAAAAAATCTTGCTTGCGCACACGTGTTACAGCCTTTCGTACGGCCCCGTAACGACTTAGGCCGATGACGAAATAGAATGCTACTTACTTGATCGGATGATGTAACGGCAACGGCTTTCAAGTTGGTAACAAACACATCGTTGGCTTGTTTGCCATTGTTTGTGGTTGCTTGTTTAATCTCATGTTTGCTGTCAGGGTTTCCAAGGAGATCACGTATTGTCTCGTTGTATATTTCGAGAAAAGACGCTTGTATCTCGTACTACATAAAGTTTTGGGAAAAATCATGATTGAATAAATGGCTGGAAAAACCCCAATCGAGTGATTTAACATAATCATGTGTCGTGAGCTACATGTATCTTTCTGAAAAGTCAACTCTCGTCATTAATAATATACTTTATGTGTACAAAATTGACATTTATTACCTTCCAACCTTTACTCATGAGATCCTTGGCACTAAGGAAGACTTGTTCCATAGCACGTGGTATCACACCCCACGTATCACGGCCGTTGATATCACCTTCCATTGTAAATGTTTTACCTGATCCAGTCTGACCATACGCAAAGATGCAAACATTGTATCCATCAAGCACACTTTGAACTAGCTGTGCTGTTTCTTGATAAATCGTTACTTGAGTGGTTTCTGGACAAAATGCTTTGTCAAATGAAAATGACATTCTGGCTTGTTGGCTTTTCTTAGACAAAGTACTAGACTAAACAGGAAAGTTTGCAAAACATTTGAATCAATCTTCAATATTCACCAAACAACGTTGGTATGTTTATGTGCGTACGTAAACATAAATAAACGGAACAGCGTAATGTTCCCAATAAGAGATTGAAAGGAACAGCGTAATGCATTTTACGGAACAGCGTAATGTTCCCAATAAAAGATTGAAAGATCTACATAAATAAACAACATCATGACAGAGAAGCATATATGTTAGATAAACATATATGCTTCTCTGTCATGATGACTAAAAGTTAACTGAAATCGACAAATTAGTGTCGATTTCAGTTAACTTTTCAAATGGCGGTTGCGAAGTTACTTTCTAATGTTGCCAACTACATTTCCAAATATGGAATATTCGATATGAACTTGTCAACTTGAGTTGACAAGTTGTGTACTTGAGTACTGAAGTTATGAACTAAAGTTGCGAAGTACAGGCAAACGTGAAATGTCTTTGTTCCCTGTAGACATTTGGCGATAAATCCGTTCAGTAAGCAAGGAGAAGCTTTACCAATAGAAGTAAGAAATGAAATACTTGAAAGGTGGTTAAATAACCAGCGTTTGACAAACATTTTGAAACAACTAAATCTACCGTATAAGACTATATCAAATATAATAGATCTATGGGTAGACACTGGTTCTATTGCACCTCGCCAGGGCGAACGTGATGTTCGAACCACGCGTAAGGATGACGTTATTGCATACGCTGAATGTCTAAAAATTAATAAACCATCTATTTACGTAAAGAGATTCAGCAACACCTAGAAAATAACTAAGTTTGCCTTCCAGCAAACATACCTAGAAGGTCATCCATTAGTAGAATTTCGAAAAAAGATCTTGGTTACTCTAACAAAATAATAAGTCAAATTCCTCGAGAGACAGAACAGCCGGACGTTATGGAGAAGTTAGAAGCTTACGTAGCAAATATTTCATTGTTTGATTGCAGCCGTATGCATTTCTTTGATGAGTCGCCTGTAGTTGTTACGAGTGGCAACAGACGTCGAGGGCACTGTATGCAGGATACTTCTGCATTTAAAATCCAACGATACTCTTCTAGTGCCACATTTACTGTAAGTTTTTTACATAATGTAAACGGCGTATCGCTGTTTAACACTCTTAGAGGGCCGTCAAACGGATTAGAATTGCTAAAGCTTTTCCTTGCTTACTGAACGGATTCATTGCCTACAATGAATCAGGATTGAATGTCTACAGGGTACAAAGACCTTTCCAGTTTGCTTGTACTTCGCAACTTTAGTTCACAACTTCACTTACTTCAGTACTCAAGTACACAACTTGTCAACTCAAGTTGACAAGTTCATATCAAATATTCCATATTGGAAATGTAGTTGGCAACATTAGAAAGTAACTTTGAATTTATTTATTATAAACGGAATGGCGTAATTGCAAGTCATGCAAACGCCCAAAAACCACTTCCGAATAAGTATTCATAAATATAGCTTGCAAGCGTTGGTTCGGGGGTTCGGAAAAGTTGTAGTTATTGCTGTATGAACTGGTCATACAAATTTGATGAATTAGAGTTGTATTGCAGAAGGCAATAAATTTCGAAAACGCAGTTCTAGGATTGACGGTTGTCCGTAATCTTAACGAGATCAAATTTAATCATTACGTATCGCCACAGAATAGATAACATACAGAAGGGCCACTTAGCGAAAAATGCGGTCCTAAATTTTAATGCGCATGCACTACTCCGCCATGTTGGCAGCAAGATAAACTTGCTACACTAAATAAGGGTAGCAATGTACAACTCAAAAATCTTGGCGTTATTACTTGAAAAGTTGAAATATTTATCCTGAGACGACCAAATCAAAGCTGTGGTTAATAAAGGCAATCAAGACCTACCCTCAGCATCGTGCTGAAATGGGAACATACAATCAACATATTTTTATGCTTTTTCATGTACAACCAATGTGTACAACTCTATCGAGAGCTGTATGAGAAATGCTGTGCCGTGGCCGTGTGGTCAAGGTTATTCGTATTTATTTATTTGTAAACAACGGAAGCGGAGAAGCGCTTAACGAACGTCTTTAAATCAGAAACAAGAAGGAACAATGTGAAATTTATCAACGGACGGGCTACACTAAAAAAGATATTTCGTATGACATTGGATTTGGTGCTTTAGAATTCAGACAAATTTAGTCATATCCCGAACACTAGATAAATGTTCATTGAGAAATTGCAAACTTGTGCAATTGTATTTAATGCCCATGCCATATTGTGTTGGGAAAATTCTTATATATATATTGTATGATTGTAGCTAACTTCCTGATGCTCTTAACTATATGTTCCTTATATTTGTCATGTTTTAGATAATTTAAAGTATTGATTCCGTTGTAAGGAAATAAAATTGTCCTCTTGCTTCTATTAATATATATATATATATTGTTATTTTCGTTACATCGCTGTCGCTGCATTAATTTTCAAGTTAAATATGCTGCACAAATATTCAGCCACACCGTTGCTGCATCGATTTGCACATATTCATCAATTGGAGCACTACCACCATCAGCCTTGGGTACAGCTGAGTTGCTTTTGAAATTTGATTCGCTTTTCGATTGCGTCAATAGTTCCACACTGAAATCAGCAAAAGAACAAAGAAGTGCAATAAGCAACAGCAATAATCACATTGCTTTTCTCAAAGAAGCAATGTCCTTTATCGATGGAATCAAAGTGGTAAAAGATGGTAAAAACATCACAGGCAGAATCAAACCACTGAAGGGATGGCTTATATCTATAAAGGCCAATATCTGTCTCTGGACCTATCTTCATGCCTCACATAATTTTGCATTCTTGCTTACCAGAAGATTAAACACAGATGCTCTAGAGAATTTTTTTGGAACAATATGCCAGCAAGGAGGTAATTCTGACAATCCCACGCCAATACAATTTATCAGAGCTTTTTGAAAGGTTTTTTTCAGTTCACTTTTGACCTCTTCCAAAGGAAACTGTTCTAGAGAAATGGACACTCTGCTAACACAATTTTCAAAAAAAAGCCCAAACCATTTAGTATGCCACTTACCCATGCAAAAGCTCCAAGTAACTCACTGTTGATTGGTGAAAATGACTACCGAGAACAAAATATTAGCAACAATTTATTGCTCAAAAATGCTGCTGCCTATGTTTCAGGATATTTGCTAAGCAAAGATTTCAAAATCTACAGCTGTCTCCAATGTAAGAACGTTTTGACTTCAAATAACATAAACAATGATGGTAATTTGCGTTGCTATTTAAAGGCATATAAAGAACTCAACTTTGGTGGGCTGACTGCTCCTTCATCGTGCTATTTAAATTACATTATGCAACTTGAAGACACCTTCGTGGATTGCTTCTCGGTCACAACCAAAAATCTGAATGTTGGAAAGAGCATCTTGAAGAGTCTTAACTTGATACCAGTGCCATTCCATACATGTTCACAGTTTCCACTGCAATATTTGGTCAAACTTTTTTTAAGAATGCGAATTTATTACGGCATCAAATTTGCAAATCGCGAGTTTTCTTCTTCTAATAATAGATCGCTAAAGTACATTAAAGTCAAGCATTTGTAACATTCTACAAACTTACTACAAGGAAAATTCCATAGACAAAGTTGATAATCCTTTTCATTCTAACTCGAAATACAAGCATAACCACGATTGAATGTTGGCAAGTTGGCAAAAGCATCAGACCACAATAACAAATTTTGACTCTAAAACGTGTATTCTAACGATGCGATTCGACCTAAGTTGCCAAAATTACCTTCTTTGACATTTCAAATTTCATGTGAACTAAAACCAGTGATCGTAAAATTCGTAATCAACAATCGTTCTTGCTGCCATCATGCTAGAACTATAGTTTTATAAACGTAACATAGTTATTATTTATCATAGATGGATGGGCACGGCTATTGGCTCTCCTTCCCACATGTCAATCAAAACAACATAAAAATAATTTTGATCAAAGCCCGCACTGCCTCTGTACTAATTTCACAGAGATTTTAGACACTTACTACATTTCACAAAAGGCTATCGTGAAAAGAAACAGGAAAAAGAAGAAAAACATAAAAAGTTGAAAACTGAGAATGAAAAAAAACGGAACAAGTAAACCAGAAACGGAAAAAATTAACCAGTCTAAAACGAGAAGATGTCTTGTAAATAGAGTGGACCGAAAAGCAGGATTTTTTAAATTTTGTTTTAGTGGTTTGATACGATTTTTTATGGGCCATTATGGACTTTTTTACTAAATGATTTGTCAAACTTTCTATGTGAACGCTATTGTTGTTAACACAAACAGCTTTCATTGCTGAATAAAAATAGTTGAAGGAACTAGTGTTTCATTATATTATGGATGACATGAGTTTATACATAATAAATAATCCACTAATCCAGCACCTTCATTATTTGATTGTTTTCTGTCGCGACATTTTGCCATATCTTCAATAACAACATCTTCATTAAAATTGTCCTTTACTTTTGGTTGACCCAAGGGATCGTGATTGGAGAGTGAAAAGATTGATTTCTGCTCGCTGTCACTATTCTACTAAAAACTATACAAGTTAAGACTGAGTGCTAATAAAAAGCTAAACGACGATAAAATACATATGAATATCGTTTTCTTCGTATAATCTTCGCTCGTGATTAGTAAAGGATTTGTAGCTAAAATATCAACATTATCAACATCATTTAAAGTATGTATGTCCTTATGAACAATATAAAGACAAGATCGATACATTCTTATATGCATAAACTATTAAAGATATATTTAACACATAACACAATTACACAATAAAGAATTATTAACAACATTTGTACACAACATTTAAGACTTATCGAAGAAATGTGTTTTAAAGACATAGTATCCAAATTTAAATTTAGCCGTTCACAATATGAAATATAAAAGATGAAGTTTCTTATCTCTGCATGGGGCTGCATGGTTCTGTGGTTACTACAAAAGTCACGGTACTCACAACAAAAATCACGATTTTTTCTCTGTAGAAGTATATTCTGACTCTAAATGATGAGATTTTCTCTCTTCCTTTTGGATTTCATGATCTTTTAGGACATCCTAAATTTTAGCAATTGTTTTTAGTGTACATTGGGTATAAAATAGGGTTTTTAGTGTACATAGGGTATAAAATGGTTGGGGTGCCACTTATTTTTACAGATTCTTGCACTGCATTATGGGCTTGATTACGTAATTTGAAACCAACCAATTACAGACGACTGTCATTTTCTGCAATATTCAGCCTTCACTATATTATCAATTCTCCATTATTATTACCACGACATCATTTTTAAGTTTCAAGAGCTACAGTATTTTGTTGCAAAAACAATAACTAACTTACTTCAACATCACCAAGAGGATCCATGTCCAATTTGTGATCTGAGTCAAAACTTTCCTTTGCTTTTTCATGGCTGTTTTAAAAAATTTATATGAACTAAATGCGTTTAGACTGAACCTAAAAACTGTTGTGCGAGTATAAAAAAGTAGGAAGTAAAAAATTGCTTTAGCTAACATTTAACCAAACACAGGACATACATGCAAGACTACAGATGAGAGATCTGGCAAAGACAGTGAAAGTCCTAATCAGAGTTAAATAACATACTTTGTACCACATACATTTCGTCATAATTTCCTTCTACCAGAGGATTTTTTTCAATTTTCAACTCTTTAATATCTTTGTCAACCTACACATTATCAGTACCTTAATCAGCTGAGGTTACAAATGATTTCTGTCAAATGTCTAAATTCCGAAAAAAACATCGACTTTTATGTACATGAATAATAATTTAAAAATCTCATTTCGTAGCTACAATTTAGTAAAATGGAAATTCAGGCAACACTGAGTTTTGCGCCCTCTATCACATGTACATATGTAACTACGTTACGACTGTTAAACGGTCGTTTACGGTAGAAATTCTCCCAACATAAAAATAAACCTACTATTTGCAACCAAAACAAAGTTTAAACAAACGCATGAAAAAAAAATCATGTTTCAAAAAAAGTCTTGAACTACAGGAAAACACAACTTGCCACGTTTATGACTTATGTTATTAAAGTTAAAATGACCAGTACCTCTGACGAATATCCAAAGTTTGCCCAATCGTATTTCATAATTCTAGTGCCATTATCTCTAGAGATAAGATAACAGAAAGAGATATCTCGCAATATCAATTATATGCATACCAATACAGTTTTAATTTGTACTTACTTCATTTCATCTAACAATTTTCCATACTGGCTGTGTAGATTAATCAGATACTGGATGGGAATATTCATTTCAAAACTCTAAGAAAATATAAAAGTTGTTAACTTGTGTCTGAATTTTATTCTCCTGTAACAAATTTGTTTCAAATACAGTATAAACCAACAACTAAAATGTAGAATAAGAGAAGTTAGGTTATTGGTTTTAATAAACGTTGACAGAAGCAATTGCTAAAAGTGCACATTTTTCAACAATTTAATGGTTTGTACTGGCAACAATAATGTAACAGTTGACATAGAACGAAGATCATTAAACAAACGCAAAATTACTCATTTAAGATTTTCCAATGAAGAGGACCCATATAAACACGTCTTCAACATTAAGAGGAGGGGGGTTGGACAAAAAAGTGACGACCTAAAAAATTACTTGTTTACTTTAAGGCATCGATAAATGTACGTACGTGACCAGAATAAAAAAGATTTAAGTCAGCACTTAATCTTTGAAAACGAAAGTTTATACAAAACATTTTATTGCTAAAATGTTAAAAAATCAGTTTTTGTGGTCGTTAGCGTTCTCACGACCACATGGAATTCCAACAAAGAATTACAAACTATTTTATTCATTGTGTTATCAATGACTGTACAAGGATACGCGCTTGAAAATTACAACAGTATCTTTGGCGTAGAACATTCGTTTCTTCGGCGTAATTGTAATTGATAACCTCGCAGAACAACAATAGCATGAAGTCAAAAATATGCGTGCTATTTCTTAAATTCTATTCTCCTTTTAATTGAGTGATTAATGTTTTAGTTCAGGATTGTCAATACGACAATTTTGCTCAATTCATTCATTCTTTAACAGTACGCCTTCATTTCTATAACATTTCTCCAAGAACGCCGTTTTTTGGTTACGAGTTACGGACCTAAGACCATAAGTTTACAAATGGGGGCTACTTTTCTGTCCATCGCCTCAAGAAACATCATAAATTTTAATAAACTTATTGAAAGAAATACTTAGAGTTTGTAAAATTAGTTACCCTTCCTCTGTCCATAATTCTCTTATGGTATTCTTCAGGGGTAACATCCAGGTAAATAACCAATTCTGGAAATGGAACCAATTGCAGAACTTGATGCCTTAAATTGCAGTAGTGCTGATATCCTAACAAGTGCGAGAAAATTATCTTTGAAATGTTTTAAAAGCAGAAGTAAAAAGTAAATATGTAAAGTGTTGCACATTCCATAAAAATTGTGGATGGTGGTGTTTTATGTTTTGGGAAATTTTGGTGTCCATATTTAAGAGAGTTCCAAAAAAGAACGTAAAATTTCGGAATTATCTTTTTCACGCAACGAACCCGCATACAAGATTGAAAAAAATGTAAATACAATTTATAACTTCTTAAAGCAAGATACTCACTTGTATGCCTTTCATTTGTTCAATGGGGAACAAGCTTTTCCGAATTTTCAAACGTTAAACATACAACACGATTTGTGCATAATCTTCAAAAGAAATTAGCTAAAATCTACAATATTTATAAATACATATAGATATATACATTTATTAAACTACTAACTCAACATAGCGGTGCGGTGCAATTGCTGCGGTTGAGACTCGTTAATTACCAATCTACGCAACTTCGTTCTTATCGCAGTAACCGCAATGATAAAACACAACAAAGCCGTAAAACATTTGAATGAAACGAATTCCCAGAGTAATACAAAGGTTAGATTCCTGTTGAGCTAAGTGGGACGTTTTTCTCGTTACTTTCAAGTGAGTATAAAATACAAAAGGAGTACACCAACTTAGTACACGTGACCCAAGACAGGTTGACAATAGTTGGCTGGTGTTGTCTAAAAGCACTCACTTGACCAAGTCTTCATGCCAGCAAAACGTAAACAAGGCAAGTCATCAATCTGTTAAACGCTTGGAGCTGCATTATAAATGAGGAGGGAAGGAAAAAACTCAAGTGGAAGTTTTTTTATCAAAATTTCCTTGTAGCATCCACGTTTTTTTTTGACGACAGGTTCCAGACCCTTTTCCGCAACCGGTAATTTAATAGAACTCAATGGGCCCGTCTCATATGTACAGGCCTTAAAAGGTAGAAAAAAGAAGTGATCTTTTCATTTATCTCCCTCTTTAGTAAATTAAAAAATCACCGGGAAGTTGATAAAATCATCTAAATGAATTTATAACAAACTAATTAAGCTCTATTCATTGATACCAGCGTTTATAAATTTGAGTTTACTAATATAAAAAATTTTTTTAAATTCAAGCAAGTGTTGAGTATAATAGTATTCATTGGCAATTTTTCTAAAAATTTATGTCCCCCCACTCCTCGTATAAACCTCATCCTCAAATTATCTCCCACTTTATGGGAAGTAAAAAAATCCAGGGAGCTAAATAGAGGAAAAACGGTATGAATAAATGTGCAATAACTTACCTGGCTGGTTCACCATGCATTACATCAAAAGTAGATTCGTGATCGCGATTTTTTAGAGCCTCATCTCAGCTTTGAGCTCGCTGCTCTGTCTGGCAAACATACCAACGTCTTTTTCCAAAGCACGTATCTTTTTCACGGCGATGTCAAGATGCATCGTCTTTTCTCTATCGGCGTTCAGCAACTCCAACTCCCTTTCTTGAAACGATTTGTTCGTTTTCTCAAGCTCTCCGATTGCACGGCGATAACGTTCCACATCGCTTTCCAAAGCGTCGATTTTCGCGCGCAGTATTTCAATCTCACTGGTTTTATCTACAGCGACGATCGTAGTTGCAGAAATGGCGTCTGTGTTACCAAGCGAAGTCTTAAGTTCTTCGTGTTCATCTTGTAGATCATGGAACTCAAACTTCAAATCTTGTAATTCGTCTAAAAATTAGTCACATCATTAACAGAGTTTATAGCCAGCATAACAATTGAACGAGTTTCGTGAGTCTTTCATGAAGTTCATTAAATCTCGTTTATAAGTCTGCAATTGCACTGTTAAAATTTGTAATTGCACTGCTGAAAATCTCTAATTGCACTGTGAGTACTGTTTCCTGTTTGGCTGAAGAGCTGTGAAAGCCAAACATACTTCTTTTTGATTAAAAAGACATGGTGCAAATTGTAAGTAAACAAGGCTTTCCACAATTGCAATCGTTTGAAATTCAAGAATTGCAAAAGAATGCAAAGAATAAAAATAAAACAGCAAGTACTGTTTTTTTGGTGAACATTCGTGCCTCTTTCGTAGACAAAATATAATTAATGCTTAAACTCTTGACGTTGTCCTACAATATGCTGAAACACAATATGCTTTTGGATTATACCTTCGCATTCTCTTAAACACATATTTAGTTTTCTTTCTTTAGTTTGGAAATTATCTTAGTCTGTTTGACAACTTCATTATTCAGCTGGGCGATTCTTGCATGTCCTTCGTCAATTTGCAGACGGTATTTTTCTTCAAGCTCTTCCTCCCTATCTCGTTGCAGTTGAAGACATTTCGCCACCGAGTCGTCAAAAGCAGTGGCAGATTTTTTTAACTGCATTTTAAGTTCTTTGGTCTGGTCTTCAAAAACTGCGCATTTCATCTTCAAATCTTGTATCACGTCTGCATGATGAACACAAAATTAATCGAATTAATTTTTTTCAACTCAAGAACGTTCAGTAATTTACGTTATCAACAGAATTTATCCTAACTTCAGATAGAAATTGAAATTGTTGACAATTTTTACAAAACGAATGTCGACGATATTGAAAAACAATTAAAATAGAAACCAAAATTCCAACGATAATTCCAGATGTTAAAGTTATTAAAATAATGTACCATTCTGTTTTGCACTGTTTTATTCTCTCTTTTTGGTCATCACAAAGAACGTTGTCTAGAGAAGAAACATAGAACTTACAACATGGAAAAAATCAAAAGAGTCTTTTTGCATACAATACTAAAATACACATTTAATATAAACGACAACTTTTTTGAAAATAGACATGTTTCGACATCTCATGATGCCATCTTCAGTATGAGTGAAATAATAGGTGATACAGGGAAATAAGATAATATCATGAGGAGCGTCCGAGCGTATTATAAACTAAATATTGTATTGAATTTAAAAACTTGAACATTGAGGTCAGGGTTAGTTTTGTTAATGTGGAGTGCTTCTTTGATTTTAAGGGTGAATGAGGTGTCGGCAGTGTCGATGATTTTGAAACAAGAGGGTGAATTTGTCTGTTGTGGTATGTTCCCTCATTCTGGTGGATAAATGGCGCGAAGTTTCGCCAATGTATCGGGAATTACATCCCGCGCAATTGAAATCATATACCACCATAGATTTAAGTGAACCAGGGATTGGGTCTTTGAATGAGAAAAGGTTTTTGATTTTGAATGATGTGAAAATTAGTCGAATGTCAATATCTGTACAGAAGCGTTTCATAATGTTTGTAAGTGTGTGTTGTGAGTAATGTCTGATGTATGGTAGTTTGAAGTATAGAGTTGTTCTTTTGGAAATGAAAATTCCCGATACATTGGCGAAACTTCGCGCCATTTATCCACCAGAATGAGGGAACATACCACAACAGACAAAAACTCTCATATCTACCGACACTTTCTCAAATCTCACTCATGCAAAACCAACTATTCACCCTCTAGTTTCAAAATCATTGACACTGCCGACAGCCCGACACCTCATTCACCCTTAAAATCAAAGAAGCACTCCACATTAACAAAACTAACCCTGACCTCAATGTTCAAGTTTTTAAATTCAATACAGTATTTAGTTTATAATACGCTCAGACGCTCCTCATTAATTTATCTATTTCCTTTTTATTGTTGTAATTTATGTATCATATTACTTTTATATAAACCTTGCATTATTTCACTCATACTGAAGATGGCATCATGACATGTCGAAACATGTCTATTTTCAAAAAGTTAAATGTGTGTTGGCAATAGTGCTTTTACGAAATTATAGAAATACTAAAATACAAATGATAACAAGATTGGAGCATTTTGATTGAGCATTGGATAAATTGAATTAAACATTTCCATTAACTCTAAGGCGAAAGGTCGAGATGTTAATTGCATTGTGTGGTTAGAGCTAAAGTTTGCTATAAAAGAGCGATTTGCTTAAATTTTCTTTTAATGAAGTATTACAGATAATGAACGTTATTATGTTACACCTGTGTTACACCTATACACAAAATTTAAATTCAGGCCTTAACAAAAATCTTTTGTGGTCTTATGATTTATCTGTTGCCACAGTCAACAAAGAAATTATCCACACACCACGAGATCCGGAAACATTTGCTCAATCTGCCCAGTCACGTTGTGTAACTAAACAGTTCCTTATCAGGTTTGTCCCACCTTCCTCAGTTCCACTAACTGCTGTGTCCTGTCTGGATAATGGTATTGTTACCATAATTTCTAATTAGCAGCAATTTTAAAAAACACTTGAGAAAAACGACGATTTTTTTGAAAGCAAACATGTTTCGACATTATCAGAATGCCATCTTCAGTGCAGAATGGTAAGTGTTGAGTAATATGATACGTAATATGATATGAATAAATTAATTATTCAAATCTGTAAACTACGACAATTTCCGCAAGGATATTATGAATTCTCCTCTTGGCCCTGAAGTCCAACGCGCGCCTGTCAATTCTTCAATGAATCCCTTTGAAGTTGCGTCACATCTTATTGATTTGTATGATAATGTCTTGCTATCCCTCATTGATTCTTGCGCTCCAGTCAAGACGAAGACCATCATCCTTAGACCTAGAGCTGCATGGTATTCAAATGGCATTGCTGAATGCAAGAAACGAAGAAGACGATTGGAGCGCAAGTGGCTTCTTTGTGATCAAGTTAACTACGAGAAACAGTGTGCTGAGTGTAGAGATTTGATCTACAAAACTAAAAAGGACAATTTCAACACAGTCATCTCAGAGAATATACATGACCAAAGGGTTTTGTTCCAAACAGTCAACCATCTTCTAAGTGGTGGCATCAAGGATACTGAGTACCCCACTTGTTCTGATGATAAGACGCTGGCTGAAGTGTTTATTAATTTCTTTACATCTAAAATAAATGGCATTTTGTCTGATTTACAAAGATCTGGTACATCCGACACACTTGAAGTGAGCTCTCATTGTAAAAGTGCGTTCCTCAATTTTGATATTGTCACCAGTGATGA